GTACCGTCCCTTTGAAGATGAAGAAAGAAAAGCCTTTAAGTGAAAGCAGACGGAACTTCTTGTTGGAATGTTCACTTTAAGACGTGATTATTAAGTCAAGTGCAGGCGCGTAATAAAAAGGGAGTTGATCAATTTGTTTCTGATAACTGAATTACAAAGGCACTTGGTGCCCCGGTGTGCAAGGTGTGCTGTGTGTGACGGATTGAACAGGTGTGCGGCTTCCCTTTCACAGGAACAGTGGCATAAGTCCATTTTGTCCATGTTCTGTTCTAGAACTCGTCAGTCTCGTTGGTGTTCTTGTCGTTTTGACGTGTATTTCTGTTAGTTTTGCCTTATATGATCGTCTGCTCAGTCCGTGAACATACGTAATAGGTGCTGTTCTAAGTTCTTGCCACAAATTATGAACTACACGTAATGCTGGTTCAAAATGGATAACGTGGACCATCCACGAGCGACTTTCACAACGCGGTGTGATGTCTGTATTCGGAATGAGCCTTATTGAATACGGGATCAAACAACAGACTCCTCTGCTTGAGTCTTCTTTCATTTTTCTAAGTTCCTTCAGGCAAATACCAGTTTAGCACCTCCAGGTATTATTATGTTGTAGAATCCTGTTGCACTTTTCATTTTGTGTTTTAATTAGTTCTACAGTCTTACGTGCAAGAGTTTATTAAACCTTAATAAAAGTTTTCACGGCATGTTTCGACTGAAGTGGTCATCATCACGTGTTAATGTTGTGGGTGAGGAAACTTCTTTCTGCGTTGATGTTTATTTGTTGGCAGCAGTACAACTCAACACCTGGTGATGACCACGTCGGTTGAAACATGTCGTGAAAACTTTTAAAGTGACTAGCTTTTATTAGGTTTTAATAAATTGTTGCACATAAGACTGTAGAACTAATTAAAAACCTTCAGGTATCCCATGACCGCTTCCTTCCCAATCCTTTGTGACCCAACATGTATTATTCATTACTAAGTAACTTCTGCAGTTGGTACAGCTAGATTAAATAACTTATGAATTAAACATTTGTACACAGAATTACTGTTTTTGGGGGACTTATTCCACCGTCCGGAAATCTAGGTAACAGAGGACATGACGTTTCAGAAACTGAATCTGTTTCCGTCTTCAGGTGAGGAAGGAAGACACTTACTCAGTTGGGCTCCTTAGAAAGATCTAATCTCAATCACTGGTTCTTTCTAAGCTTAGCTTAGCTCTTTCTAAGGGGCCCAACTGTGTATCTTCCTTCCTCACCTGATGACGGAAACAGATCCAGTTTCCGAGACGTCGTGTCCTCTATTACCTAAAATTCCGGCCAATGGAAAAAGTCTAAAAACCCAGTAATTCTGTGTGTCATCCACCATCGTCAGAACCCTTTAGAATCTACTTGAATATTTATATTTGAAAAAAAAGAACGAGGGACTTGCTATCGGCTTGGTCCACTTAGGCTGTGAAGTGTTGGAGCAAGGGGGAACAGCGACCAGCTGGGAGGAAGAGGCGCAGTCCGTATGGCACACATATCACCTGGCCGGACCGGGCCACCGACCGTAACTCGCAATTATCGGCAAGCCACCGCAACGTACAGTTTCTCTCTTTCTTTCCTACTTTCCCTCCTTATCTTCTTTCCTGTCCTAATAAGATAAACACCGTCAAATATAACTGACTATAAATTACATTTCCAATTTGAAAATTTATTTTATGAAATCAAAGCTGCATGCATGAATGAAAATTGTAGGGCAAAGTGAACAGCATTGAAAGTTTCTGTTGTCTCTTAGACTGCTCTCTCACTAGCGAAACTGACTGCATGAAACCGTTCGCAAGCAGCCAGTCGCCTAAAACTAGTCGCACATTGAAGCGACTGACTGAGTTGTTACGTATATTCCATATAGGCCTGTGATGCTATAGGAATGAGGGTGTGTAATCGCCAGTTAGTGATATAGGCTGTTTCCACGTGGGTGAAACGGCCGGGGCATGGAGGTGGCTGTTCGCCTTCATCTAGTGCCGAGGTAAAGAAAGCTGGAGCTATAGATCCACTCATTCCGTGGTGCTTAATTAATTAAACGTAGGAGTTACTGTACCTTTTATTAATCAAATGCCATAGGCTGCCCAAGAAAAAACGTGAAAGGAGCAGATTTAATAGCCTCGGAATGCGGTTTATCTGCTCAGACTTTGTTACAGAAGAAGAAGAACAAGAACGACAAGGGGGCACACGTTTGGCCCCCGTCAAAAGAAATAATAAGAGGGACGACACGAACCAGCTTGGTTTACGAATTCTAATAGAGTCTTAACAAACTAACTATAAATATTTTAATGTATTGGAACAGCCGCTGTGGTTGTAAAGACTTTAGATTTTATACCCAAGTGTATTGTATTAATATTATGTGTATATATTTTAACTTTTAGAACACATACTGTAATGGTGGCTTCTAACTGTGTTGATGTAAAGGGGTCCCTCTGAAGAGCGAAACATGTAAGATTAATAATAATTGAAATAAGAAAAAAATCTTAACCAGTCACATTGGACGGAACTATTTAATTTTTTCATAAGAACACAATTTAAAGGTTCTTTTTGTAGGGATGAACGAAGATAGCAATAGTCGGTAAAATGACAGACTGCAGGGGCAGGGCTTGTTCTGTTTCTCTGGAGTCCATATATTCTCACGTACAGAATTGTGTTTCCAAAAGCGTGTGAAAATACGGGAATGGAAGTTATAAAAGAGTAACATCGCAGGTATAAGTAGTAACTGCATGCTGTTAAAAAGATTACTTTTTCCATGAAATTGCGAAATGTCGGCAAGGCCTTTATCTCGCACAGAATTTCGGAAGTTAAAGTAAAGAACTCAGTTTTGTAAGATTCGAGGTTTTCACGGCGGTGACTGNTTGATTCTCAAAAACAGTCTAGCAGCCTAGAAAAAGTGACGCTTATGGCTTGTGCGTTTTTGTGATCGCCAGCTCGGAAAATAAACGATCTCGGACGAGTGGGCGGCCCTATTTTTTAAACCCTGCTAATGAACCTTTGGGTTCTATTCCAGGAACTATTTTGATCAACTGTGGTGTTCATATGTACATTGAGTTTATAGTTAAGTTTCTTGGCGGTGGGAAACTAGTCTCATTTTTTTCTTGTTTCAGTATTTCAATTTGCATAACGTCATTTAGAGTTAACAGTCGTTTTAGTTGTTTATATTTCGACACAGACACTCGTACGGAACAAATTCTCCCTCTCTGACACTCAGAGGAGTTATACCAGGAAGTGAACGGTGTCAGTTAATTACCTATTTGGGGCTTGTGCAAAATGGCATTGCTTGTGGGTCTGTGGAGACTGGCTCTTGTCTGAAGTAGTTTCAGGTGAGGATGAACGATGGATGGCCCCTGTATAAGATCCTCTTGTACCAACATGTCAGTATGACGATCCCATAAGCAAGACACGCTCGCCGTGTCGTGTCAAGTGGAAAACGGTAGCGGGGTTTGGGTGGTGGAGCGCCCACTTCCTTCCGGTTCATGGTCTTCATGACGCTCTTGAGAGACCATCCTTTGTGCTATACGGAGTGACACTCACTGATAGATGTAGGAATAATCGATCGATCAAATGTGTGTCTATCGGCTGATTAAACAGAACCGCCATTTGCCGCATGTTCAGTAGTATAGTCCCCTTATCGAACTTCAGACTGATTTCTGAAAGAGAACTTAATCTCTTAAGACGATACAAGATTTGTCTCCAGCAAATGACTTTTTCATTTTATAAAAACTTACTAATATATTCACACCGTTGCATGTCTTAGTGATTTCGACCATTCGACATTGAGGTGTGAGCAACTGAAACCAAAGTTCCTGCTGCTGAGTCGTACCATACCAGGATCGTAGTCTCTATTGAGGGCCCTAGCTAATCTTATTCGTACATCAAGGAACGGAGCATGAAGAATAAGTGTAATAAGGATTTGTAGAGACAGACTGAAAACTCCAAGATAATCCCGCCCTAGTTCTATTTTCTCCATAAGACACTACTCAGGGGTTATCTTAGAATTGAACCCAAACCTCTGCGATTAAAAGCTAACATTTAACCTGTGCCACAGCTTGTCATGTGCGGAAGCAACAAGGTATTCTGGAGATCAAATGGCAGACAGTGTGACAGACATCGCGTAAAGAACATCCGTTGGAGAACATGTACAGTGCAGAGTATATTGCCTGTTTCATGGAGCATAGTGGCGCTGCGCGCGCTTGCGTATTGCTGTCCGTAGCTGTTGATTTCCTTCGAATAGGCAAGTTATAAATCATTTTCTGCCCCTGAACAGAATGTCTGTATAATGGGGGAAGAGAGGAAGGAGAAAACTGAGAAACTTCGTCAGTTATACCTAGCTTTATCAGAATACCTGTTAAAGCAAGAAAGTTATTAGACAGATACGAGTATGTCAAGATAATGGCGCAGAAATCGCTCAGATCAGAGCTGTATGTCAATAACACTGTGGTGGTAACGAACCGTCGGATTATTTGAACAAATGAGTAGTCATCTGCTGCTGAAAACATAGATGGAGTTGGTACACTAAATCAGTGGTTCTCAACCGTTGTCAGACCGCGGCCCGGTGTATTCTTTTTTCTATAAGACGAGGGCACGCTATAATTGATGCCAGGACCCGGTACCGGGCCGCCGTCTGACAACGGTTAAGAAACACTGCATTAAACGATCCGCAGAACTTACCTGTGCAACTCTACTATTTTCATCGTATTTTATTTAGCGGTGCTGTAGAGTCAAAAACAAATGCAAGATAAATATGAATGAGATGGAAGATAGGTGGGAAGGAATCCGTTTTAAGGTAGATGTCATATGTTTTCACGGCCGTGAATGTTTATATTCTGCTCTTCCAGGTTTTGACACCGTGTAGTTTCGTAAGTGTTTACCAACGTTTCGGAGTAACGTGCTCCTCCACCTTCAGACTAAAAGTAGTAGTAATGATTGGAAAAGGGCACGAGGCTGGAATAGTAACCAAATGATTCTGTTGGATTTGCAGAGGCATGCTCCAGCCGCTCGACTCCGAAGCCCCGGCCGCCTGTCCCAACGGCGCGCCCGAACATCACATTCCACACGTTCCCCTGTCCGCCGGCCTACAACACCTGGTACTGCCTGAACGGAGCCACCTGCTTCACGGTCAAGATTGCCGACTCCTTGCTCTACAACTGCGAGTAAGTACTGAAAGTTTGTTACGAAGGGCTCGCCACCGCGACAACATAGTGTCGCCTTCCTAATTATTTATTTATTTATTCGTTCCTTTGGTTCGGCGATTCCGGCATGATGGCTGTCCTAATTTGTGGATTGAGAGGAAAGCTGACGTCACTTAGCGAAGGATCCAAGTGATTTAGATTTTTAGAGATAGCCCTAAAATAGGGCCGGTTTCTTTTTACTTTTGAAAATGGGCAACATGAGATTAGCTTGCGTTTGTAAATGTACGGCCAGTGATTGTATAGGCCAATGCAAGATTTGAAAAATACTACAAATATTATGTTTCTGGGCATTACCCATCGTCCGTCTTCAGGTAAAACCTACTCAGTTCGGCCCAATTGATAGAGCTGAGCAGGTTTTTCCTGAAGACGGAGACAGAATCCAGTCTTCGAAACGTCGTGTTTTGAAATAAAACGGGACGATGTTTTAGATATAAACAGGACGATGGATAATGTCCAGAAACACAATATTTGTATTAATGTACCACCATCACAAACTTTTAGATCTTATTGAAAAATACTGTTCGTCCACTTCCCAGCTACGAGTTTGCAACCATAATTTTGCATCGGTTATTTATCTTAACGGCATTTGTTTCTGTTTACTATGAATTTCTTTAACTGGTTTAAATCGCCGAAATGAAAGCATTGCATATGAGTTCTCAAAGCATTTTGTTGCATAGTAGGCTTAGGTACGAAGTAGTACCCGTTCACTGTTGCTGTAATGTGGCCGAGTTGTATACTAGTGATCAGAGATCATACAAATTTACCTTCTCGAATAGGACTAGGTACAGGCCTTATTTTTCAGGCCCCACATGTGTATATAGTATATAGACATATTAAGTCTTCAAATTTCTACCTATCTAGCTGTCTATCCTTCTGTCTGTCTATGGCATTACAGCCCCTGTGGTCCTTCGCCGCGTTTTCAGTTACTTACTCTATACACAGGCGGTAGTATTCCTTGGACGGGGGATCAGTCCGTCTCAAGACCGCTACCTACACATAGAACAACACAAACACAGAAGAAGTGCACACAAATATCCATGCCTCAGACGGCGCGGCCACTGTGATCGGCAACTCTTCAAATTCATGAGTGTTAAGAGGATATGATATTAAAATAGGGGTATTCAGATATATTATAAGCATATCTAACGTTACAGACTCAGATACGAGTAATAATTTCCTACACCAATTTGCTGGGGTGAAGGTTGAAACGTGAATACGAACGTATGACCCACTGCGAGTCGCGTCGTTCTGTTCGAGGTGTTTACTGTGCTGCCAGTGCGCTACCAGAAATTCGGCTTTCGCTGAGGTGAATTGGTGGTCGTGGAGTGCCATTATCGCGAAAGCGAAGTGACACATCAATCATCTGCCTCCATTTCCATAGTAAAACTAAACAAAATGCTAAGGACAGTATTCCCACGTATGAGATAAGCGAGGAGCGAAGGGAGAAAATTACACAGTGGCGAACTCCATAATTTGTATTCTTTAGATGATTAAATCGAAAAGAAATTGGGATCAGTGGGTGTCGAAGGCACTTTGTACGTAGATTAGTATGTAAATTGTGGCAACATATGTACATATATAGGTATACTCCTGAGCTTCAGATCAACGCATCGTATTGTATATATATAT